CCCCAAAACCCCAAAACCCCAAAACCCCGTAATGTCAAAAGTAATTTTTTTATTGAGAAATGGTAATCTAAATTTCTTTTGTACTTTTTGCCAGTTAATTTCACTTGTGATGATAAAATATTCATTCCATTAATTCTACTTATAACTCTAAATTTTAATTGTAGTACTAATAAACTATAATTTTAAAAGCTTAACATATGCAAGCACTACACGAAAGGAATATTTCATCAAGATAAATTGATTAAGTAATCGATAAGATGGATCATAAAGATTACTAATAAAACTAATAGATATCTCAATATTTAAGAACTCATGAAGATGAATTCGAAGATGACGAGGTTGATGAGAATATTTCAAACGTTTTAAATGATTTTGAAAGCTAATACGATTTCAAAAACAAATGTAAAAATACTTTGGATAAATATTTTGCCCAAGCTACTAGTAAAAATGATTACTAACAAAGAATGAAATTTATTAATAAATTGGTATAAAGCTCTGCATGTATGATTAATGGTTTGTTCAGATAAGATCAATAAAAGCATATGTCATAGATTGTACTTAATAAGAATCTATTAAATAAAATAGAGAAAGGTTATATGGCTTGCGAATAAAATACCCTAAATAAGAATGCATTGTAAAATATGCAGTACTAACTCTAAAAATTAATGAAGAATCTGGAATGCATGAAGCAAACAACCGAGACAATAAAATAAAATACTTCTGAAACGTTATACTCTAAATTGAAGGAAGAAGACATGAAAATGATGAAAGCTTTTGGTTCTTTCAATATGACAGAAGAAAATAATGGCTCAAGCATTTCTGTTTCTAGCATCCAATCTTAATAAGATTAATAACTAAGAAGGAAAACCATTTAAAGAATGACTAAGCATCTCTTTTCCTTGGAAAATGACAATTAAGAAACTAGCTTGATTGACTATTAGCTACTTTCTGCTTCTATAGAGATAATGGATAAATTTTTCTTAATACACACGAAAAATGAATACTCTACTGATCAAAGTTTGATATCTCTGACATCTATAAGTGGTGTACTAATCAGCTAAAAGATTTTATAAAATAACAACTAAATTCTCATAAAACTTATGGATTCTAAACTAAATAAATCAAGATTCTCAGAATATCAAATTTTAAGGATGGCTGAACAAATAGAGAAAGCAGTTGACCTTAGAATCCCTTCGGACTTCATGTTTAACAAGTGTAACTAGGAGCTGCAATAATTCATAAATCAATTAGATTTTTAAGATGGATCTGATTCCTAGTAAGTTCTTAATAGTATTGACTCAGCATTTGAAGAATTAATCAGAAGATCTATCCACAAAAATCTAATCACTTATCAAATAGAGAAGAAGTTATTCTATAATTATGAACTTGAGGATATAGTTCATGGTATAGTAATACTTTCCATTAAACAAGCCAGAAATGAAATACTCATTAATAAAATTAGTTATGGACTGAAATCAGACATAATTTTCATTGCATCTTAAAATGAATTAGAAGGTCTATGGAATATATAAAAGGTAATAATAAGTTTCAAGAAACAGTGCATTAGTGAAAGTAAGTATAATGAGGCAGTATCTCCTATTGTAAAGCTATTAAAAATGCACTCCTAATGAAAGTCTTTACAATAACGCTAGAGTACCTATGATCATACACTATTAATTATCTATTAATTTTAATTTTTGGAAAATAAGCAAGTTTAATCTATTTAACTTTTTAATGAAATTTACATTCTAATCAATCTTGGGGTTTTGGGGTTTTGGGGTTTTGGGGTTTTGGGG